CCCCAAAACCCCAAAACCCCAAAACCCCAAAACCCCTCAAGGGTAATTTTGAGGAAATCGCTTATAAAATTAATTTAACTGTTATTTTTGAAATTTAAACTATAGCCAATACATTTACAAACTTTTAAAATGAAATTGTTAAGTCCAAATATTAATAGGTAAAAAGAGAGCCAACCCTCCTCAAAATCAAGAATTAGTCATATTTCCTCTATTTCATCAAACTTAAGGAGGTCTAGAATTTCTATTTAGAGCAAGCAAAGCGAAAAATCATCAAACTCAGGAGTAAAATCAAATAGGAAATCTCAGAGTAGCAGAAACATTTTCGATGGACTGACTTTCCTAATAGAAGTTTTTGAAGATAATTTAAATATGTACTAGAAGATCTAACCCATCATTGTAGAGAATGGTGGCATCGTAGTCAGATAATTAGCTGAGGATACTAACTACTTTGTTTTTCAAAATGGCAGAAGGAAAGTATTACTCAAAGCCATGAATGATTGGAAAGATGTCAAAGTTGTGAGCCCATAGTGGATTGATCAAAGCATTTCTAAGAGGGAACTATTAGATCATATTCAATTTTAGCCAGTGATTATCAACCAAGAGGAAATGAAAGATGAGAGTTTGTAATCCTTATAGACGAGTAAAAAGAGACCTGTTCCTGTTGAGGAATCTAAAACAGCTCATAAACTATCTCCTTTGAAATCAAAAAGGAAGCTTAAGGTAAATAATAAGAGAAACTCAAATAAAGAAAAAACTTAGAATGAAAGTTAAATTAAAGCTGATCAAAACTAAAACAATAAGTCAGCCTTGGGATATGACTAAGATGACTTGGACAAGACTATTTAATAGATATAAGAGGAGAAATTTTTTATGAAGGAATTTGCAAAGGACCTTAAAAAATTCTCAAAGCTGTTTGAATAGCAGCAAATGACTGAGGATAAGCTAGAGGCAACAAACGATAAGAGCTAATTAATAGAATTAAAGGATGAAATAAAGTAGAAGAAGCAAACTAAAAATATGAATAAGAATCAATTGATTGAATCTTATATAGAAGGTGATATTGAACTAGTAGATTTCATTGAGAACATGGAGATTAAGCTCAAAGATAAGAGCAGAAAAGGAAAGAGTAGAAAAGCAGTAGACTCTAATAGAAGAATTAGTGAGATGTTTGGAAGAAATGATTAGAGAGTTGAGGATAAAGGAAATGATAAAGGCCTAAACTCAACTTAACTTATGAATAAATCAGGATTAATATCTCTACAAGATTTTCTGAACGATATTGATAAGGAAAACACTCCTATCAATTAATGTGAAAAAGATTATCATTTAAGAGGATCAGCTAAAAAGCATAACTCTCAGGCTGTTGATCAAAATCACTTCTCCTAAAAATCCATAGATAACTATATCAGATCTCTAAATAGTCAAAACTCATTTAAACCTCTGCTAAATCACAAACCTCAAAGCATTTTCAATTAAACTTTCCTCAAGACTATCTAAGAAAATTCAAGTAATAGAATTTAAAAAAGCTAAACTATTCAAGCTAGCAATTAAAATAAGTAATTAAGCAAGAAGTTGAAAAATATAAACTTAAGTTAAAATTCTCTCCTGAGTACACCAAAGTCTATTAAAAGATCCAGGTCTGCTCACATTACTTCAAGACTTCCATTCTTACAATTGTCAAAGGATGATCTCAAAAATCATATTCAATTTGACGGGTTCGCTTAAGATTAGAATATGCTTGAAGGGAATAGAAAGGCAGCAAGGAAGCACACGAAATCCAAAACTTAGAGAAAGGTTAAAGATAGGTCTATGCCAACAAGGAAAATGCCCTAAAGAGGATGCAAAGGGAATATAAGCTATGTAGAGGATCAGTATGACTTTATAGGTGAACTTGACAGTAAAAGAAATAGAATATTTCATAGTCATCAGTATCAATACTATTGATTAAAATTCTTAATTGTAATTAATATATTATTTTGCATTGAAACTATAATCTTAAGTTAAGTCTATCAATGTCTTCTTAATGGGTGCTTAGATCATATGATTAATCAGACAAATTTAAACTCCTCTTTTCTTCCTGGCATGCTATAAACTGGGACATTGCCTACCTAAACTGGGACTTTGTAACTTCCTGGTCCTGGCTGTCCATCCTTCTTCACTGGCATTCTTTGACTTGATCCAAAACCAAACTTAGGGCCTTAAAATAATTTCTTAGTATCATTTGTCACGTAAACTCCTGGGCCTGGATTGTGATTCAATTCTTTCAACATTATACGACTCTATGATCCAACTCTAATATATTTAATATAACATATTCTTACGTGAATTAAGGGGGCTTGTTTTATTTTGTTGTATAATTATGGTCAACCTTATAATGACCTGGTCCTGGACTTGCCTCTCCAAATTTATCTAGCTTAGAGCCCAATGGGAATTTAGGTCCTGAAAGTGTAGATCCTAATTCATAAACTCCTGGTCCTGGGGTTGGTGGAACATACTGTTGTTATTTTGGTCTCTATTCTGATCCGATTCTCCAAGAAGCAGAATGGGTCTTAGTCAACTGATCTTTAGCAAAGTAGTTTCCTGAACCAGGAGTATTAAAAAAGTGGTTAACTTCACCATCTCTAATCTGTTTCCCAAGACTGAACTGTGGTGACGATTATCTCAATTTTCTAAACTCAGGATCGTAAGCTCCAGCGCCTGGAGCATCTCTACCTGTCTTTGGTCTAAGATCAGCTCTTCTGCCTGGCATTGTTGCTTTTGGCACACCATCTCCCATCATAGTCTTCTGCTCATAGTTTCCTGGGCCAGGAGGAATAGTTGTTAACTAAGTAGATGATAAATAGTCTTTTTCTCTTTGGCCTGTTCCAAAGCCAAATTTAGGTGCTTGACTCTTTTCAACGAAACTGAAAGTTTTATAAGAACCAGGAGGAGGTTTATCGTAAGCAGATGTCTTTAAGAAGCTTGATTACCTCATATCTTTACCAATTTATGATCCTGGGATGCTCTTATAATACTTCTCTCTCATATCCAAATATTATCCAGGACCAGGAGTTAATTTCTCGTCACTTAACTCTGTGTTGTTTCGTTTTCTGATTGAATATGAAACTTAAAACTCAGCCTTTTTTGGATCATACAATCCAGGACCTGGCTCAGTTCTGCCCTTAAAAGGATTAATATCTGGCTTAAGTCCAAGCTAGTACTATGGTCCTTCTTATATTTTAGAGGGGATTTTATATTAACCTGGGCCTGGACTCTAATTAGCTAGTAGCTTATCTCTCTGATCTTTACTCAATGACCATGAAGGATTGATCTTTCCTTTTGTCTACTTAATGGAAGGAGAATACTAGCCTGGTCCTGGTACTAGAGTTATATCTTTACTTTAAATAAACTATGCCTCTATGAAATTTATTAGTCGAGATAATAGTATATTTACCTCTTTTTTCTTTTCCAAGACTGTAGGCATGCGATAATCTAATTGACATTTTTAGAAATATGAGAAATAAAATAAAATTAGAAGTTTAATTAATACAATAAATAAAGAAGAAAAGAGCATCTATTAATAACAATAAAATCTTCAATATTCCGTTTCAACTATTATCTTGCCATTGCGGGGTTTTGGGGTTTTGGGGTTTTGGGG